TACAGTACCAGAAATCTACCAAAGTAGAACAGACTGTCTAACAAGACTCTGTGTCCAAACAAGCAAAAATAAAATGAAATAAAAAGTATTCATGAACACACACACCAGAGAGAGAGAGAGAGAGAGAGAGAGAGAGAGAGAGAGAGAGAGAGAGAGAGATTAAATAAAAATAAAACCCAAAGTAAACAGAGAAAAGAAATGATAGAAATCAGACAGGAGATCTGTAAATAGAAAACAGAAAACCAGGAGGAAAAAAAAATCCAAAATCCAACTAATTATTTCTGTTTTGGAAGAAGGTTTTTTAGAAGACATATGATAATGAACTTACCATATATATATATATATATGTATATATATATATATATATGTATGTATATATGCTTGGCGCTGTTAGTCATTTGAAAAATCAAAACCAAAATCACACCTAATGGACAGTTAAAGCTAAAAAGACTGACCATGCTGGAGATGTAGCTCCATGGGGGAGTACTTGCTTAGCATGTGCAAGGCCCTGAATTTAACCCACAGTACCACACAGCAGAAAAAAAACAACCAACACTGACCATCCCAGGTGCTAGAAAGAAGGTAGAAGATCATGAATACCTAGGTTCTGCTGGTTGGAATATGAAGGGTGCAACGATTTTGGAAAGTAACTTGTTAGATTCTTTAAAAGTGACACATTCCATTGCATTAATCAGCCATTCACTTGTAGGTATTTACCCAAGAGAACAGAAAGCACACGTTTTTTACAGACTTGGACATGAATGTGTTTAATCTCTTCTTTTGTAACAGCCCCAAATTAGAAACGACCCAAATGCCCATCGATAGGCAGGCAAACTTATGGGTCTCCTCACCCTTCATGGAGTTACAGCCAGCACTCCCAGCCTATAGCAGGGTTAAAAAGAGCAGATTTATTTAGATGGTTTTACTTAACAATCGTTCAGAAATGAAAACCCAAAGACCCAGGGAAAGCTGCCATAAAAAGGAACCAATTAAGCTTGGTGTGGTGGTGCACACTTGTAATACCAGCACTTGGGAAGTGGAGGCAGGAGGGTCATAATTTCAAGGCCAGCCTGGGCTACATGGCTACATAGCAAGACCTTGTTTTCCAAACAACTCCCTTAATGAAAAAAAAAAAAAAAAAAAAAGGAAGGAAGAAGACAAGAACAAGATTATGTATAGTAGGAGTTCATTTATACTACAGTCTAGAAAGTGGAAATTGATCTGTAGTGACAGAAAATACATTCGTGGCTTCTGGGAGATGGGAGATGGGGAGATACAGCAGGGGGAAAAATTACAAAGGGGGAGGAGGAGGAAACTGTGTGTGGGGTGGATGTTTCCACTCTCTTGATTGAGGTGATGATGTTATAATTACATTCTCATGTCAAAACAGATCAAACAATACATTTCAAGTATATGTTATTTATTGTGTATCAATTACACAATAATAAAGATGTCAATCATGGCTATTGTTCCAAAGAATCTAGCACTACCTCCACTGAGTCCTCTGGTCTTGGGGTCATTTCCCCCATATATATATATAAACACATATATATGTAGATAGATAGATTGATGAGAGAGACTGGACATGACATGGGCTTTTGAAACTTCAAACCCACCCCCAGTGACACACCTCTTCCAACAAGGCCATACCTCCAAATCTTTCTCAAACAATTTTATTAATTGGGAACCAAGCATTCAAACATGAGCTATTGGGCGGGTGGGGGTGGGGTGGGGGAGGTGGGGGGGTGGGAGTAGGAGGGTATTCTTTAGTCCTGAGAATGGGTTGGCTAACAAACTGGTAGGGGTGTTTTTGATGTGTTTGTTTTTTTATTTATTTTTGTAGTTCGGGAGAAGATACAGGCCTGCTCTCTTCCCAGTCTTTGCAAGAACGCAAGGGGATGGGAAGGAAGGGAGTCAGGGTATTCAGTGTTCACACATTCTCCCAGGCCTCTGGGGCCGGTTTCTTCATTTGCCTTTATGGAAACATCAAGGGTGAGAGCAGGATTTCTAAACCAAGTGGGGCACTTGCAGATGCTCCTGTCTCTTGGCACACGTGTCTTCTGAGAAAGGACAAAGAGATTATGTGCCTCGCTTAAGAACAATAGGCCGTGTCACAGCCTGTTAATTCCACGGCTTCCCAAGAGAAGAAAGAATTTTTACAATGAGATGTCAGAGGGTCTCCCCATGACAACCTTCCTCTGTATTTAAGCCAGTGTGCTCCACCTCCTAGGGTACCATGCCTTATCTCTAACTGTGGGATGGGAGGTTTTGTCTTATTAAAAGAATCTCAGGCATGGCAAGAATGGAAAGTATTTTGGTTGGGTGGGGTGGGAGGTGGAGTGAAGTCACATGATTGCATACTTCAGTGGTGTAGGGAGGAAACTTAGAGTTATCCTAACTACTGCCAGCCAGTATGTACCAGAAGCTATTAGCTTGCCAGAGGCATTTGGTGTCTAGTGCAAGTAAACTGTAGGCAGACGACCGAAGGAGCCCCAACAGCCAGTGGGTAGCAGTTAGGCTGCATCCCCCGGCTCCAAAGCCTCCCTCCCAACAGGCCACATAGAGGCTGGAGTGTAATGTGATATGTGAGTTCCCACTCAACAAACTTCCCTGCTTTTTATCAAATCTGGCCAGTGTATTGAGTGATTTTCCTCCTCAGTGTGGCAAAAATACCTGACAAAAATACCGAAGGGGGGGGGGCAGGACTTCTTTCTAGTTCTTTCTGTACCTCATGGGAGGTACAAAAGGAAGGCTGGAGTGACTGTGCCATCCACAGTGAAGGGATGACAGCGGAAGAGGAAGCGGAGAAAACATGGACCGGAACCGGAAGTGGGTCTAACCTTCAAAGCCCTGTCTGTAGGGACCTACGTCCATCAGATAGATCTCAGGTCCCAAAGGTTTCACAGCCTACCAAGACAGCACGACCAGTTAGAAACCCGATTTTCAAACGTGTGGGGCTGTGGGAGACATTTCTGACTCACACAGGAAAGCTGTCTTTCTGGTCTTCTGCACATATGGAAGGAGGAAGTCCCTTCCATGCAGTTGTCCAGGACGGCAGTCCACATTGCTAGCCTGAAACCTGCCAGGAAAACAGCCTTTGGTCTCAGTCCTCAGGAGACTTGGGAGACCTAGACAATGGATGGAAATAAACAACCTCCAGTAAGGTTGTCTCTCCTCAGAAAGGACACCGTGGAGAAGATTTCCAAGATCTGAAGAGAATGAATGAACATGCTACTTTTATGTCCTTTACTTGGTTGACAATTGTGTTGGCTCTAGTTACCTGTTGACTTGACTGTGGTGGTTTGAATGAGAATGACATGCCTCCCCCCGCAAACCCCCGCCCCCATAGGCTCATGTTTGAATGCTTGCTTCCCAATTAATAAAATTGTTTGAGAAAGATTTGGAGGTATGGCCTTGCTGGAAGAGGTGCGTCACTGGGGGTGGGTTTGAAGTTTCAAAAGCCCATGTCATGACCAGTCTCTCTCTATCAATCTATCTATCTACATATATATGTATATATTGATGGGGGAATGTCTTTCTGTGCTCTGTGAATATGTTTTGCTCTGACTGGTTGAAAGTTAAACCCTTCCTTTTTGAATAGGAAGAGAAGGAGAAGTGATGGGGGAATGTCTTTCTGTACCCTGCGAATATGTGTTGCTCTGATTGGTTGATTAATCTACCCTTTCATCCTACCATATCTATATTCTACATATATATAAAATCTGTCTTTCACTTCATCTCTATCGCTGCCTGCTGTCTGCAGATCAGGATGTAAAGCTCTCAGCTACTGCTCCAGCACCATGCCTGTCTGCTTCCCACCATGATGATCATGGACTCACCCTCTGAAACTATAAGCAAGGCACCAATTAAATACTTTCCCTTATAAGAGTTGCCATGGTCATGGTGTCTCTTCACAGCAGTAGAGGAACACTGCCTACTGTGTGACAGTGACACAATGTAGAATCTCTTGGGAATAGAGTCTCAATAAACAATGGTTTGGGTTGAGTTGGCCTGTGCATATACCCATAAGCGATCTTCTTCACTGTGTTAACTGAAGTGGAAAGACTCACCCTGAATGTGGGTGGCACCATTTCATGGGCTGGGCCCTGAACCTGATGAAAAGGAGAGAGCCAGTTAAGCGCCAGTAAGCGTGCCGGCAAGCATCGGTCTCTGCCCCTGATTGTGGATGTGGCCAGCTGCTTTGACCTCCCTGCAGGGATGGACTGCCACCCAGACTTTCGAGATGAACGAACGCTCTCCAGGAAAGTTGCTTTTGTCAGGATATTTTATCAGCAACAGGAAATGGAGCTAAGACAATAATATTTGGGGCTGGAGAGATGGTTCAGTGGTTAAGAGCACTGGCTGCTCTTCCAGAGGACCCAGGTTCAATTCCCAGCACCCACATGGCAGCTAAATAATCTCTGTAACTCCAGTTCCAGAGGACCTGACATCCTCCTTTGGCCTCCACAGGTGCTGCATGCACGTGGTCCACAGACACACGTGCAGGCAAATCACCCACACACATACAACCAACATAAATTTAAAGCCTTTTTTTGAAAGACAGCAACACTAGGCTAGTTTATTCTTTATGGCAGACCATTGGCTCTGGAAATCCTCCCAAGATAAGGAAACATCAGACGTCAGTGTAGGGATGGATGGGACAGGCCCTTTTCTTATCCATTGCAAGGGACGCAATCCTAAGACAAGACGGATTAACAAGGGAAAACTGAACAGACTCACTTAGCCGAAGTTTTATGTAGCACCTGAACCTTCAGAAATGAAGGCCCAGGCGGGCCTGGTGGCATATTCCCTCAGGACCGCGGGCCAGGAAGGTGGTGTCAAGTCCAAGGTCAGTCTGGGCTTCAGAGCCAGACCCGGTCTCAACAACAAACACAGCAAAAGCCCACAGCCCGACTGTCTGCGGTTGAGCTGTCGATGGAGACGGCACCAGGGAGGAGTGTGACTGTCCACCCCGGACTGGTGGCCGCTGAGCGCCTCACCCCCTCCTGCGAGGACTGCCCCCTCAGAGTCTTCCTGATTTTCTGTGGTGTTCTTCATCTGCCTGGGTTCGGAGCAGGAATCTTCCCAGATGCGCCTCTTCAAAAGAGGAGAGAAGAGAGAGAGAGAGAGAGAGAGAGAGCGAGCACTCCAGGCTTTAATGGCTTCTTAGAGGGAGGAGCTCTAGGTCTAAGACTCACCTTGGGGAGAGTAAACCTGGTTTCTTTCTTTCTTTCTTTTAATTAATTAATTTTTTTTTTTTTTAACTTTAGCTAGGCGGTGGTGGCATTCTCCTTTGATCCCAGCACCCGGGAGGCAGAGACAAGTGGATCTCTGTGAGTTCAAGGTCAGCCTGGTCTACAGAGAGAGCTCCAGGAAAGGCACAAAGCTGCACAGAGAAACCCTGTCTCGAACAACAAACAAACAAAACGTGTATATTTTGCCTGCGTACCACTTGCACACCTGGTCCCCTTGGAGGCTAGAGGGAGTCTGATATCCCTGCAACTGGGGTTACAGACAGTTGTGAGCTGCCCTGTGGGTGCTGGGAATTGAACCCGGGTCCTCTGGAAGAGCAGCCAGCGCTCTTAACCCCTGAGCCATCTCTCCAGCCGTCTCATGCTTCCATGCGTTTCTGATTTCATTCGCTAAGTTCAGAGGACGCAGCGGTTTATGTCCGTGAATAAGTTACCTGTCAGTCTGGGCCTCAGGGGTTGTCTGGACAGACCAGTGCCATTCGGCCTCAGTGTCTGTGCTCAAAATGGAGCACATTGTTGCTTTATAAAATGGAGGCGTGAAGGGATAGACTTAGCCTGGAAGCCAGTGTTTTACACAGGATGAAGCAACGTTGAGCAAGGGCTAGCCTGAAAACTACTGTTCTGTTCCACGAGTGGCAGGGCCGGTCTGGATCTCCATGCTTCGTCGGAGCCTTGATGTTATAGAGTTGAGAAATAAGCCATATTGCTGATGCAATGCCATACAAATACAGCCCTGGCTGGCTGCCCGAGGGCAGAGGCAGGAGAATCCTGACTGAGAAAACAGTGGGACCCTGCCTGAACAAAATAAAAGGCTGAGGACGCAGCTCGGTGGTAGAACTCTTGCCTAGCATGCGTGAGGACCTGGGTTCGACCCCCAGTACTGTAAAAACAGAAATAAAAGATTAAAAATAATTAAACAAACCAAACCATAGACTAACCATAAGAGAACCCTCAGGCTTAAATTTTAACCATTCTCAAAAAAAGTGCCTAGGGAATTTTTTTGAGCAAAAGCTAAATCAAAATTTTGAGAATTGAATACATAGGCATGAAAATAACAGTTAAGAAAGGGATACAATCAAAGCACTTCCGTGTCTATTCTGTCTCCCAGTCTCCTCCAGGGAGCAGTGTTAACAGTTCCTTAAATATTCATGCCATATACATAGCAAATACTTTAGATGGAAATATGTATAGCATACATATGTATCACAAATCCTTTTTATTATTATCGGTTTCTTTGTACATACAAAGGACTATGTTGTGTAAGTGATGAACAAAGATTATGACTAATATGAATACTGCTGCATTCATCAGGGTCCTGGCAACAGATGGCATGCTGAAACTGTGAAATTGGGGTAGCTTTAATAAAACGACTGTTTGCAAAGTTACAGGCAGATTCAGGGAAACCAATAAAGGAGAGCGTAGCATTCACTAGCTTATCCAGGGTTTGTGTTATTTAAAACATACTCGATTTTGAGAATGCTCTTGAAAAAAAAAAGGATACAAAATTGCTGATGGTAAAGTAGATACAAAAATGAATTCATCAAGAGGAAGAAAGAAAGTATAACAGATCTAAACTTATAAAACTAATATTTAAAAACATCACAAGATCTAAATGTAACTTACCATATAACTACCAGGTGCGTCTCTACTGACTCCTTTCCTGCTTTGTATGAATGTGGGGTATTCCTGTGTGTGAGTGTGGGGTTTGCATATGTATTAGTATGGGGCATGCATGTGTGTGAGTATGGGGTATGCATGCATGTGAGTGGGGAGCATGTATGTGAGTTTGTGCATAGAGAGGGCAGAGGAGAGACATCAGATGGTCCGCTCTATCACTTCGCCATATATTTTTGGGACAAAGTCCCTCACTGACCCTGGAGCTAGGCTGGCACCAGGAAGTCCCAGAGAAGAGTCCTCCTGTCTGTCTCCCACAGGGCTTGGCCACACTCAGGTCATCCAGTGGGTGCCAGGATCCAAACTCAGGCCCATGTGCTTGTTCAGAAAGTGCTCTGACCCATCACACTGTTTCACCGGCCCACTCTTTTGTTTGTTTGCTTGATACTACTTCACATGAGAGTGACCTTATTTTCTATAGGAAGAAGGGAAGCTAAATTTTTCTGCCCTCTGTGTAGAAAAAGCTGACATCGTTCCTTTTAGGGGTGCACAATTTGGACATTTCAACATGACGTTAATCACCCATTAAGTTCATGCTCAAACACCGTGCAGCTGAATTACAAAGATAAATTGTAAAATAAGTCACAACGGTTCAGGTAAGTTTAAGGTTTTGTGTTTGGGGCACATTCACAGCGATCCTCGACCACATGCGACCATGGGAAATGCCTCCCGGACACTCTGTTTCTGGGTGTGTATTCTATTCGATGGGTCTAGGAGTGCCTCCCAACAAGAGAAGAAGGGCACTGTAGTAGTGCAATTGGAAACATAGCACAGCATCTTTTTTTTTCTTTTTTTTTTTTTTTTTTTTGTCTTTCAAAGATTAATGTATTCCACAAAGCTAAGAAAACGCCTGATTCATCTTTCATGTGTAGGACTAGTTTCATCACGTCCTTATCAGCAAGTACCCAGTTTCCTGCTCACTTCAGGACAAAATTGAACCTCCTTTCTCCACAGTAAGTGATCCTCTTCAGCCCCATCCCATCTCACCTTCTAGATTCATCCCTCATCACCTCCCACACGGGTTCTTCACAGGTTACAATTGAGTGATACCCTGTGCTTATCTATCCTTAGTCCCCAGGCTTTGCACGAGTCTCTCTCTGCTTGGAATACCTTCCCCAGATTGTCCACCTGGGAAACTGGCCTCCTGCCTTGAGTGGCAGACAAAGTCCTACCCCCCCCCCCGCCCCCGCCCTCCGCAAAGCCTTTCTCAACAGTGTCCAGACGTTCTTCTCTGTCACAGTCTTCTCTCAATTGCTTGTAGGGTGTAGCTCCTCAGCAGCCTGCAGAATTTCTGAAAACCATGAACTAGGACTTCTAACCCGTACACGCTGTCACCCCTGCACAGGGCCTGGCCCACAAGTAGCCACTCTGTAAGTGTGGTTTTGTTTTGTTTGAACAAGTTCTCACTACGTAGCCCAGAATTGTCGAGAATAATGATACTCTTGACTCAGCCTCCCAAGTGCTGGAATTACAGGGGTGTTCCGCCACACCTGGCCAATAAAATGGGTTTAAAGACAAGCATAAAACAACTGCTATATGCCTAAGCTTGGACCAAAATCGTGTCTCATTTTGTGCTGATAGCGATCAATGAAGTAGTATTATTATCCCTATCTATCTATCTATCTATCTATCTATTCATCTATCCATCCATCTATCTATTTATTTATTTGAGACAAAATTTCTCAGCGTAGCTCTGGCTGTCCTGGAACTCACTATGTAGACCAGGCTGGCCTCGAACTCAGAGATTCACCTGCATCTGCCCCCAAGTGCTGGGACTAAAGCCATGCGTCACCATACCAAGCCTATTACACTTATTCTGTGTGTGGGTGTGGGGTAGGTGTGGCCGTAAGTGTGTGTGTGTGTGTGTGTGTGTGTGTGTGTGTGTGTGTGTGCAAGTGCACATGAGTGGAGGACAGAGTACAACCCGAGGTGCTGTTCCTCAGAAACTAAGCACTTTGTTTTATGTATTTTGTTTGTCTGTTTGAGGCAGGGTTTCTCTGGGTAGCCCTGGCTGTCCTGGAACTCTGAGACAGGGTCTTTTACCAGCCTGCAGTTCGCCGTGGGCTGGGCTGGCTGTCCAGTGAACCCCAAGGATCTCCCTGTCCCCACCTCCCTAGCTTTGGGATTACAAGCGTGTCTGTAGTCACGGTCACATCATTCTGTAAAGCTCCCCCCATTCCAGTTAAACAACGACAGCTCCCCAGACTAAAGGTATTTCATTCCCAGGACTGAAGTGACTTGTTTTTCTGCATTTGTGTCCACCTTTCTCTGCTGGTCCTCCACGATCGTGATACCGTCTACAAGAGACATCTATGAGTGCCCTGTTGTCCCCCAGTCTACCGCCAGCCCTGTTTCCCTAGCCACACCTCCTCAGGCCCAAACGGACACATTTCAGTTCCCTCTCTCCCTTTCTGCTCTATAACGGCCCCCCCCCTCTAAGAGGCTCTGACTCTTGGGCTGGGGGCCCCTCTGCAGATTTTTCTTGAGTAAAGCCAGTGCTGTCGTTCATTTGTTTGTCTTTCCCACTCCCTGGCTTTATAGCATGCACTCGTGATTATTATTTTTTTAATGTGGTTTCTGGGGGATCCAACTCACATCGACATACAAGGAAAGCACTTAGCCAACTCTCCATCCCCCGACTGCTAATGTCCTGATCCTGGTAGAGGATTAGAATATGCTATCCCAAAATACATCACTTCAACATATGGCTTACTTTAACTTAAAAACAATGGAGAAACAGCAGAGGCAAAAAGTCCCTGTGCCCTCCTCCCTATTTTCCTAAAAGCAGGACATGGATTTCCATTTGTGATTCCGTCTCCCCTGACAACCCCAAGGTAACTCCAGAATCACCAAGAGGAATCAATTTGACAAACTTTACTAAAATAGCCCTTATTTTCCTCTGGTCTCCAGCTCCCCGTGTACTTACCTCCCACAGTTTGGGCCCCTGAAAGCCCTTGCTGCGTCTGTACAAATTCACTGCCTTTTGTTAATGCTGTAAAAGAGCCTGGATTCTAACCACACACCCCCTCTAGTTACTGTCTCTGAGTTTCTCTTCTAAGCCAAGGGCACCTCGAATTTGCAAAGTCTGCCTTTTGTAAGTTAATTTCCAGCCCCCCCCCTGCAGAACCTGGGGGAGAAAGAGAAAGGGGGCTTTTTGTTTTAAACTCCCCTACAGTTTGTAGATAAGAAACTCAATACATTTAAATAATTTTTTTTTTTTTTTTTTTTTTTTGGTTTTTCGAGACAGGGTTTCTCTGTGTAGCTTTGCGCCTTTCCTGGAACTCACTTGGTAGCCCAGGCTGGCCTCGAACTCACAGAGATCCACCTGGCTCTGCCTCCCGAGTGCTGGGATTAAAGGCGTGCGCCACCACCGCCCGGCTTACATTTAAATAATTTGACCACAGCTGTTTCAACCCAGTTCTGTCTGATGCCAAAACTGGGTGCTGGAGCTGGGTGGTGGCGGTGGTGGCGGTGGTGGCGCACACCTTTAATCCCAGCACTCGGGAGACAGAGGCAGGCGGATCTCTGAGTTTGAAGGCAGTCTGTTCTACAGATGGAGTTCCAAGACAGCCAGGGCTACACAGAGAAACCCTGTCTCAAAAAAACAAAAAGCAAAACCAACCAACCAACCAACCAAACAAACAAACCCATGTGCTGTTTACTCAGCCCAGGCCCCTTTGTTCCTCTTCCCAGACAAACTAGGACTTCAGCAGTGGTTAGCAGCTGCCTAAGGCAGGGTTGACCCAACTACTGAAGTAACAGAAATAACTAACAGACGACTCCTGCTTCGCTGAGAGATCACAGGCCCTATTAAGCTTCTGTACAACCACCCCCACTGACATTGTTCCTTTCAAGGTCATGGGTGCTCTGTCCTGTCAAAGCGAATGACTCCTTTTATTGTTTATGGTTTTTAACTCCCAATGGAGCCTTTCGTCGCCTCCCCTCCCCTTCCATGCTAGCTCTGCTTTTCCTTCTATCTCTAAATCCCGAACTTCCTCAGAGAAGACCTTGAGCCCGCCTCTCAGTCCACCTCTCGCCCTCGATGGTCTCTCTCAGTCCTGTGAAGTTAGGGGAGTCCACGCGCTGTTTATGGCGGCTCCCTCCGGCATCCATGTCTGCCAACTCAGACGCCTAAGTGACTCCTTCCGGAAGTGTGTCCTCCAATTCCATGGCAACTCCTTGTGTCTTCCCTGAGAGATGTTCTTCTCCCGCTGCGTCCGTTACCTCTGCTGCGTGACAACCTATGTCAACTATTAATGGTCCTGAAATCCAGACGGGGCATCACGGGACTGACTTATCTGGACTCACATTTCAGACCTCAGCCAGGGAGAAGCTGCGGTTTGGAAGGGAAACCAGCTCCATTGGTGCATGTGACCCCTAACCTCCAGCTGGTGGTGTTCTAGAAGGCCGGGGAAGCCTTACGTGGCCGAGCCTCACTGAAGAAGTGGGTCACTAAGGGTAGGCCTCAAGGTTTGAAAGTCTGGCTCTACTCCTGGTTTATGCTTCCTACCGCGCATGCTCACAGTGTGACTGGCAGTCTCAGGTCCCAACGCTGTTTTTTCCCTGCCATGACGGCCTGTAAGCCAACACAAAGCTTTCCACTTTCAAGTGGCTTCTTGTCATGTGTTCGACAGAGCTGCTAACCGGGGGTAACTCCTGCAGAAGACTCGGAGATGAGGGGTGACTGTGCAGGGGGAGCTGGAATCGCCCGGAAGGCAACTTCACTCATACACCTAGTAGTTTGAAGCTGACTGCCCATGGACCTTAGCGGGGTCTATTGACTGGAACATCTGCACGTGGTCACATGACACAGCCCAGGCTCCTTCCAAGGTGGGCATCCTCAAGGAATGTATTTCTCAGGTCGATCAAGCGAGGACTGAGCACAAAAAGTAGAGTTTGCGTGGCTCTGTATAGTCTAATTTTGGAAGACCCGGGTCATTTCCACATTACCCTAGTGGTTGGAACGTGTTGGAAGGTCTTAGGTCTAAGGTGGGGTGGGCAATACAGCACACCGAGGTGAGAGAATAGAGGGTAGAGCAAGGTCTAGAGAGCCTTGTATGAAGGCTGCAAAAACTATCACAGGAGAGAAACTAGTTTCAAAGAAGAAAGGCCCACACTCCCTCTACCACCAACTAAAGACAGCCATTGGCATAGGCACAGGGACCATCCTGGTGTCTGAAGGTGACCTACGGTTCATTATAATACAATAATGCACACCCCTAGGTGGAGATTTAATGCTAATGAAACCAAAATGCATAAAGTTGTGTGTAGAACTATATGTAACAGATCATGTGTGAGGAAGCCCGAGAATGACGGCCCGACTCTTTACACAGCATCACTGTTGGGATTCTAAACTTTTTTTTTCTCTTCTCTGGCACACATCCTCCCTTCCCTGCCTCTGACTCTACCTCCTGTCTCTAATCCCTGGTTCCAGGACCTAACCTGAAAGTCCTCCAGACATGCCCACTGAATCCTCGAATCAGCCGATAGCAGCCCCCTCCCCGGGTGGCATAAATAGTACAAGCCGCTATGGCTTCATATCACTGACTGGTCTCATTGCTTCCATATTTATCTCTTTCTAACACATTTTCCGTACAGCAGTCAAAAGTGATCTTGCTAAAATGAGGCTCGTCATTTTCTCTCAGGCGGCCATTTGCAGCCAGGACTTACTCTCATCTTTAAAAGCCCCCAGTAACGTCTTGGTGCTCTCAGAATTAAAGGTTGCTTTCCTGCTCCTCCACCCTTACCGGGCATCTGTTTTCCCCGGACTCAACCACACTCCAACTATGTCAGAGCATGCCTCGGTTTCTGCTCCATGGCTTTGCCAGTGACCAACTGTATCTTTCTACTGCTATTCATGGACTCCCCACCCCCACCCCGTTCCCTAACCCAGCTTTCTCTTTTGTCTGGATGTGGCTCTGTGAGACCCGAGCACCCACTAAGATGACTCGTACATATTTTATCCACTTCCACATCGCCCCGTTTATTTTCTCCAGAGTTCATTTTACCATCTAAGATATTTATTTATATATGCACTTTCTTATGTTGGACTCTTATTAGAATGTAAACTCCAGGAGGGTCCTATCGGACGGCTTCATCCATAGCATCTATCGCAGTGCCGGGCACACAGGTGCTGAGAAAAATGCTTGTTTCATACAACAAAAGCAGGTAGGTGGAGAAGTAAATAATCTGTTTTCCCAGTGGCAGAAAAGAGGAGCCGTTTCCTTCCAAGTGGCTCTTCAGACGACAAGAAAGAATTCCCTTGGGAGGTCACTGCCTTGAGAGCCAGGGACCAGTTGCAGCCCTTCTGAGGTCCTGAACACCTCATCCATGCCATGAAGAGACCTGACATCTTGAATCACAGGCTACCCCTGAAGGAGGCAAGCCTTCCAAATCATCAGAACAAGTAAGTCACCTGCACTCCGTTAGTGACGGACTTAATCAAAGCAGGCTGCCTTCTGAAGCTTGTGGGGGTCTTCCACAGGTTTCCCACGAGCCCCATTTTCTTTAAGGCAGTCATTTGCAACTGGGCCTGACCATTGCTTTCAGATAATCATCTCTGCAATCATCCCGCAATTCCAAACATTCAAAGTCACCCACATGACGGTTTCCAAACTCTCTGGACTCATTACAACACCACACTTAGGCTTTTTAATCCCCTACCCCCATCTGTGAGCCAGAGGCATCTATCCGATGATTCTAAAGAGAATCATAATGAAAATCGTAAATGAAGAGTCATAATAAAGTGACTCTGAAAGCATCCCGAGACTTCTGCCAGCCTCTTTCGGCTTGTAAATAGCCGTAGGCATCAAAAGACCAGCACTCTTAGTCAGCCACCTAAGGCCCGCGACAGTCTCATTAGACTGAAATGCGCTGGCTTTACCTGCTCATTCGGCCTCATCAAGACCTTCCCTTCCTTCCTTCCTTTTTATTCACACCGTGTCTTCTGACAAGGAAATGTACCCCAGCTTCCCTCCAAGAAAGGTTCTGCACTCACACTGTTTTATGGGACTTCGTTTTTGTATTTTACTTCTTACCGTGGGCTAGCGTGCCATGCTTCCTCTCTCTGTTTTATTCTTGGGAAGGTGTTTAGGTCCCTTATAACCTGACATCTTAATTGATATAAAAATGGAAGTGTATTTATCTCTTTTCTTTTGAAACTCAAGAAGGGTTTGCCATTTATAAAAACAAAAACAAAAACACAACAAGCAAACTGTATCTCCTTGGCAAAGATCCCTGTTGAGTTTGAGACACTGCCTCCCAGTGTTTTCATTTTTTCTGAGAGTGTCAGCTTTGTGGTCCATTTCACTGGCTGCAGTGTCATATGTTTGAGGTCACAGCTCATCTCAGTGGCTTGGTAGCAAGTATGCTGTATGAGAGTCGGAGAGACTCAGAGCCCTCCACCCCAGCAGAGGCCAGCTCCCACGTTACACCTGTTGCAACATCAGGGTGGGGTGGCCTTCTCACGAGGTTCTGGGAACAGCATGGCTTTTAAATGTGCGATCTGCTCAGCTCTCCCCATCCCCTGGGCTGTTCAGACTTTTAAATTTAACTTTTCTGATATCTAAAGAATGGTTTCATGGCTAAGAAAAAAGGGAATAAATGTTAATGAGGGACATTTTTATCCGTTCTCTAAGCCCGATTCAGATTGGAAATCCTTGGGATCCATGCCTGATAGAGCAACCTGCAGAACAATGTAATGTGGCTGTTTTTATCATCCCGAGTTCCTTCAAAGAAAGGCAAATATTTACTCCATCGGATACTCTGTCTCCAGTCAACTGAGTTTTGTAAAGACAGGTCTCTTGAGGGCTTTGTTTTCTCCTAAGCACTTTGTCAAGTTCCTGTTCTGTAGTGTTCTCCTTGCTGCTCCATCTGTTCCGGGTTTCCAGAGATTTTTTTTTTTTTAATCTCCTCAGGAAATTCAATGGAAAAAGGTAAAGCCTGACTGCCAGTGGATTTTTGTTTCTCCTCTTTCTGGGAAAGAGCCAGTGTGTGTTTAAAAATAGACCAGAGAAATATCTACGGTTTGAGATTCATTCAGTTCTCTATTTGCTGTAAAATAAAAAGCAGGATTGGTACATCTGAACTAAAATAAGCCTGCAGTTTCCACCTTTTGGAGCAAACAGTTCACCATTGCAGTCTTCTGGAGATGCCAGCTCCACCATAATAACCACATATTTTCACTTTTTATTTAATCTGACAAAAGGAAAAGAGGCGATTTAGATTATTTCAACTGTTCCATGAGAAATACTTGCCAATTGAAATATATATATGTATATATAAACACACATATATATTTCTAATAACAGTTATTATGATCCTAACATCAGATATCCAGGGAAATAAAATATATAGACAATTAAAAAAAAAAAAAAAAGAATGACTTACTTTTAAAGTGGCCTTAGGGAGAAAAAGAAACCCAACATTATTGGGGTATGACTGACATATAATGAAATTTATAAAGGCTAAGCGTACAATCAGAGGATTTGGAGCATTTGATAAACCCAAAAGCGTTTTTAAGGTTGTCTTCAGACACCCCAGAGGGCCTCTGTTAAAAACACAACAAACCATTGGGATGAGCATGATGCTTGAATTTCTAGTGGCAAATGTTGTGGTTTGAAAGAAAATGGCTCCCATAGGGAGTGGCACTATTAAGAGGTATGGCTTTGTTGGAGTAGGTGTGGCCTTATTGGAGGAAGTGTGTCACTGTGGGGGTGGTCTTAGAGGTATCCTATGTTCAAGCTACACCTAATGTGGAGCACAGAGACTCCTACCTCCTGTAGATCAAGATGCAGAACTCTCAGCTCCTTCTCCAGCACCATGTCTGCCTGCATGCCGCCATGGTCCACCATGATGATAATGGACTAAACCTCTGAAACTGTAAGCTAGCTCCAATTATATATTTTCCCTTATAAGAGTTACCATGGTCATAGTGTCTCTTCACAGCAATTGAAACTCTAACTAAGACATAAGTTAGTACCAGGAGTGGGGTATTGCTGTGATAGCCTGACAATGTTTTTCAGACTTTGGGTTAGGAAAGCAGTGGAATGCTTCAAGTACTGCTTAATGGGTCCTCCTAGTAGGAGGATGGAAGATGGTGCTGAGGGTGATTTGAACTGTGTGTGTGGGGGGTCCTGACTTAAGAGGTTTCAGAGAAGAAGAATTTTAGTGTATTGCCTAGAGATCGTTCTTGTGATATTTTAGTGAAGAATGTGGCTGCTTTTGCCCTTGTCCGAAGAGTTTGCCTAAAGCTAAAGTGAAAAGTTTTGGATTAATTCCATTGGCAGAAGAAATCTCAAAACAGCCTAGTATAGACTCTTTCATGTGATTATTAGTGTTATAGTGAAAAGGAGTGAGCTGAGTAAGTAGAAATACAATTTGAGGAGAAAAGGAACACCAGGAAGTGGAATGGAGCTAAGTCCTGTGGTCAAGGAGACAAACAGATTAAGAAATGGAATAAAGGGAGTGGTGACCTCAGGGCAAGATCCCACCCAGTTAAATTTCCAACTTGTGGAAAGGAATTAAAAAAAAGCTTAGAGCTGTGTGTGTGTGTGTGTGTGTGTGTGTGTGTGTGTGTGTGTGTGTATGTGTGTGTGTGGTGATACATGCTTTTAATCCCAGCACTCTGGAAGATAGAGAGACAGGCAGATCTCTTAGTTTGAGGCCAGCCTGATCTACAGAGCAAGTTCCAGAACAGCTAAGCTTAAGCAGTGAAGGAAACCATCAAAACCAGAAAGCTGGTAAAGATGTAATTGAATGAGGGGACCATGTTCCAGCCCCAGCAAGCAGCAGAACTTGGCAGCTTTAGCCACATGGTTCTGGCTGAAGGATAGAAGAAGGGGATTATGGAATCTTCCTCCTTGACTAAGGACAGCCGCTGATGCCAGGCATGCATAGGGGTGTCCCTCCATGGAGGTCTAGAAAGGCCATTGTGTGAAGCTGTGAAGGTGAAGCCTAGATTGCCTTGGAGACCCCAAGATGTTGGAGATGCCAGAATCATGGGGCATCTGCTGAGGTGAGCTGCTAATAGGGAGTGGAACCAGCCTAAGAGAAAGAAGTGTGTTGCAGTCAACAGAGCTGAAAGGAGTTTTGACATCAGACATGGAGATGCAGAGTTTGGAGTTTGCCCAGCTGGTTCTCGGTCTTGCTTTGGTCCAGTATTTCCTCACTATGCTCCCTTCCCTGCATTTTGGAATGGTAATGTATATCTTGTGCTATTATATGTTGGAAGTAGGTGATCTGCTTTTTGATTTTGATTTTACAGGGGATTACAATTAAGAGATTGCATGAATCTCAGAAGAAACTTTAGAATTTTAAGTAAGTTTGAGACTCTATAGATTATGGAGGCTTCTGAAGTTGGACTGAATGAGTTTTTGCATTATGATATAGCTCCAAAAGCCTATGGTGGCCAGGAAGTGGAATGTGGTGGTTCAAAATAAAATGGCCCCCATAGGAATTGGCACTATTAGGAGTAATGACTTTGCTGGAGTAGGTATCGCCTTGTTGGAGGAGTGCGTCACTGTGGGGGTGGGCTTAGAGATATCCTATGCTCAAGCTACGCCTAGTGTGGCACTCAGAGATTCCTTCTGCTGCCTGCAGATCAAGATGCAGAACTCTCAGCTCCTTCTCCAGCACCATGTCTGCCTGCACACCTCCATGTCCTGCCATGATGGTAATGGACTAAGCCTCTGAAACTGTAAGCAAGCCCCAATTAAATGCTTTCCTTTATAAGAGTTGCCATGGTCATGGTGTCTCTTCACAGCAGTAGAAACCCTAACTAAGACAACAAATTAAAGAAGGTGATTCTCTTACATTTGTATTTTGATGTACTTTCAGAGTCATTGCCCAAGTCCTCTGAACCA